TTTTTTCAGTCTGCGGAAAAACTTTTACCGCAAAATCAAGAAGCAGCCGTGCATCAGCCTGAAGTTTCAGCAGTTCTCCAAAGAGCTCTCCGCCTACTCTCGGACCTGTGATCTAAGTGCAAAAATTTTTGAGCTTTCCCAGGAGGACACGAAGATCTGCGAGCACTATGCGGTAAGTTCTTTCTTTCAGTGTTTCAATCATCCTAATGTCTTCTCCTGTTCAACACAGAAATACGGCTGGTGCGAGCAGTCTGACATGTGCAAAAACTCCCACAACATCGACCTCATTCTCGATGACGAGCTTCAGTCGAAGAAGGGCAAAAAGAACAAACAGCTGGTGAGCACGCTGAAGCAGCTCGCCTCGGTCAGCAATTCAGGAGCAAAAAAAGGAGTCAGCGATGGACAGACTTCCTCACCCTCCTCCTCCTCCACCTCCTCCTCCTCCACTTCGGGCCTTGCTCCTCCTCCGATGCGCAAGAGCGGCTCGCACAACTCGGGCAATGACGCCTTCATGACCGGCTACTACTTCCTCTACTACCTCGTCACCAACTTCAACAAGACCTCCTACCGGGAGTTCAAAAAGTACTACGAGTCCGGGCTGACGCAGTTCAAGAACAAGATCTTCCTCGCCGGCAAGGTCCACCCGCTGAGCATCATGGCGAGCAACTTTGCCAAGACCTCCGCCGCCCACCGCGAGAAGATGCAGAAGCTGCTCATTGCCGGCAACGTCTTCGCGCTCGCCAAGGACTTGAAGGCAACGGCGACGGCAACGGCAGCGACAGCGACGGCAGAGGAAAAGGAGAAGGAGAAGAAGAAGCCGCAGTCAAAGTAGTAGCCAAAAATACTCGCTCTCTCACCTCTGCTTTGCTTTTTTGCAACTTGTACAAATTGAATAGGTTATGTATTAAAACTGCTGCTGCATAAAACATCCTCTCTCAGCGTGTAGGAAACATAGAGAAAGGTTTGAATATAGAGAGTATACGAGTTCATGATTGAGGGAACGCCTGTTGGGAAATGCCACACCACCACCACCGCTACTAATTGTAGGTCATGTAGCGAGGCGTGGAGCTGAACTTGGCGTACGACTTGATGACCTTGTTGATCGCCTCCAGGAAGTCCTTCTCCGTGGCCACCTTCCGCCGGGCGCGAATGGCGAACATGCCTGCCTCGGTGCAGACGCTGCGAATTTCCGCGCCGGTGCTGTTCGGACAGAGGCGGGCGAGCAGCTCAAAGCGAATGTCCCGCTCGACGCTCATCGAGCGGGCGTGAATCTTGAAGATGTGTGACCGGCCCTCCAGGTCGGGCAGGCCAAACTCAACCTTGCGGTCAAGGCGACCGGGTCGCATCAGCGCCGGGTCGAGAATGTCCGGCCGATTGGTGGCCATCAGCACTTTGATGTTGCCGCGCGGATCAAAGCCGTCCAGCTGGTTGATCAGCTCCAGCATCGTTCGCTGCACCTCATTGTCGCCGCCGGCGCCGTCGTCGAAGCGCGCCCCGCCGATGGCGTCAATCTCGTCGAAGAAGATGAGGCAGGCCTTCTTGTTTCGCGCCATCTCAAACAGCTCGCGCACCATTCGAGCTCCCTATTCCAATTTGTTTTGTGTTAAAACCGAATCATCAAATCGAAACTGAACTGAAACACATACCTCTCCGACGTACTTCTGCACCNAGCTCGCGCACCATTCGAGCTCCCTATTCCAATTTGTTTTGTGTTAAAACCGAATCATCAAATCGAAACTGAACTGAAACACATACCTCTCCGACGTACTTCTGCACCAGCTCAGAGCCAATGACACGAATGAAGCAGGCGTCTGTCCGGTTGGCCACGGCTCGGGCGCAGAGCGTCTTTCCGGTGCCGGGCGGGCCAAAGAGCAGCACGCCCTTCGGCGGCTCAATGCCAAGGTTGACAAAGCGCTCAGGCTGCAGCAGCGGCGTTTCCACCACCTCACGAAGCTTCTCAATCTGCTCCTTACAGCCGCCCACGTCGGCATAGGTCACATCGGGCTTCTCCTCCACCTGCATCATCGTCACGGTGGGGTCAATCTTCGGCGGCAGAGGAACGTGAATTTGGTACTTGTTGCGATCAACGCCCACTCGCATGCCCTCCTCAATGTCGGTCGGGGCGACAGAGTCGGCCAGATCGACGACGAACTTGGCGAACTGCTTGACGTTGATGATGTACTTTGGCTCCTCGTTTTCCGCCTTGATGATCTTGGTGCAGCGAGCCACCTGCAGTGGCTGTTCATTCTGAAGCGTTTGCTTGTCGGCTGCCAGGTCCCAGAGCGCCGGCGGCGCCAGACCAGTGTCCGACTCCTTGATGCCCGTCAGTTCATTGACTCGCTTCAGAGTGCCCTGGATGTCTTCCTCCACCTTTTTGATTGCTCGACTGTAGTGGCCGGCGCCCTGAATGGTTAAGTGATAATTAGTCAAGTGTTTTTTGGTTTTAAATATTCCAAACTCCAAACTTACATATGATTTCAGAAGAGCAATATCTCCCTCATCAAGAACTGAAACAAAAACAATGAGGTGTAAGCAATTAAACTTCAGTCGTACACGTAAACGTTACCTTTAATTTCCTTTTCATCTCCTTCTGTTNGTCAGTTCATTGACTCGCTTCAGAGTGCCCTGGATGTCTTCCTCCACCTTCTTGATCGCCCGACTGTAGTGGCCGGCGCCCTGAATGGTTAAGTGTTAATTAGTCAATTGTTTTTTAGTTTTAATTTCGAACTGCACACTTACATATGATTTCAGAAGAGCAATATCTCCCTCATCAAGAACTGAAACAAAAACAATGAGGTGTAAGCAATTAAACTTCAGTCGTACACGTAAACGTTACCTTTAATTTCCTTTTCATCTCCTTCTGTTTTATCCTCCTTGGACTTTCGCATGTCCTTTCCAAGATAGTCCATCTTTTTCGGAAGTACTGGTGGTTAAGAACGCTGAAGGNTGTAAGCAATTAAACTTCAGTCGTACACGTAAACGTTACCTTTAATTTCCTTTTCATCTCCTTCTGTTTTATCCTCCTTGGACTTTCGCATGTCCTTTCCAAGATAGTCCATCTTTTCCGGAAGTACTGGTGGTGAAAAACGCTGAAGAAAAAAAGATAACACGAAGCAAAGTTCTTTACGTAGAAGCGTCAGTCAGTCTGTGATGATTTGCAAAATAACAGAAAAAGAAAAAATATTAAAGTGTCCTGTCATAGAGAGCGTGACACAGTGTGTAGAAAAACAAACAAACGCTGCGGCATTTTTCAAACATCAGTTCAGCTGCTCTCGAAGATTGAAACAAATATTGACTATCATTTGGAATCCATCTAATCCGACCTGTCAATTCAAAATGTCGTCCAAGAGCAAAGCCTCGAAGCATAAAAAAGGTTTGTTTCACAATTTTTACATCGCTGTTTGCATCAACACTTTGTTTTTTTCTGATCCGCCCCAGAGTCTCGAGGTTCGGACAGCGATTCAGACGAAGACAAGTCGATAAAGCTGAGCAACAATCGCTACCTGACTGTCTCCCAGTTTAAAAACCGCGTTCGCGTCGATATCAGGTAGGTGTCACCAGTCCCCTGTTCTACCCTGTTTTACTTTTCGATTGATGTTGATGTTTAAATGTGCAAAATTCCTGTCATACATCAGAGAGTACTACTTGAACGACGAAGGCGAGAGGAAGCCTGGCAAGAAGGGCATCAGTCTGTCTCTCGAGGAGTGGAAAAAGATTGTCGCGAACATGGAAAAGATTATAAAGGCAATCAAAGAGGCTGGCAGCGACTCAGACTCTGACTGACCCGGAGTGACCTTGACTTTCAACCAGTGGAGCTTTAATTTTCGACTTTCCCGTGCACCCAACCAACCAACTTTCATT